GCACAGAACCTTGTTGCCTCCCCTGCCCCTTCACTGTTTCAAAAATTGCCTATTCTGTAGAAACACAGACTGAAATTGGGCCCCATGTCATGTAGTCTGGAACTAAGATTGAGACTTGCTGTGCAACACTCTCTGTAGCTGTCACTCATCTGGCCCAGCAGAGGCCCTGAGCTTGTCTTTTTCCTTACTCTAGGGCTGCTGAGGTTGGGATGCACAAGCCCTGTGATATTTCTCATCAAGCATGACGGCATGCTCTAGTACTTTCATCTTGGTGGTTTTACAATGAGCCCTCGGACCCCACAGCAACTCATACTGAGCAGGATCACTGTGAGGAAACTGCTGGTACCCCAGGTACCCTGCCTGAACCAAATCCTCTCTGATGAATTTCCACATGTCCCCAACAGCAATGTGAGCACTCTCAGATAATATCTTAATATGGCTCAGAATTACCCTAAGGTACTCTTCACAAACTCGGTTGCTCCTTAGGAAGATCAAACTCAGGATGAGTATCAAGAGGTCAGATTTATGAATAATCTGGTCAGTGTCATCCAGTATCCTACTGTAAATGAGGCCCAAAGCAGAGACAATCTCATATGTGTGGGCAGTGGAATCCACTTCCTTTATGACAATGCCAAAATCCAGATGCATGCACTGACAGATTTCCCTAAAGATCACAGGGAAATTATCATGGGTACTATTGTGGACCGCATGCACCACTTCTTCCCTGGAGAACTGATTATTCTTTTGATACTTCCTGAGCAGAAACTGGACAATCACATGCATGTTATCAATTTTAATTCCATGCATCCTACTGTGAGTGGCATCATTGTCCTGGGATGTACTTGCACCCTCCTCTTCATGAATGCTGGAGCCCGCGTGGGACTGAATGTTTTCACTGGAAGCCATGGAAGTGGGAGGAGAGGAGACACCATGCAGATTCTGAGGACAACTTGGTTTCACAGGCCCAGGCTCTTCTCTTGCTGTGTCACACCATAAATCATGGGAGGAAGAAGATGCGGAGGTAACAGTGGCTGTTGCTTCCTCCTCATGCATGAGACCCTTCACAAGACTGAGGCCTCAAGGTCTGCTATGTTCAGGATGGGCTCCCTCAAGCATTCTGTCTTGGCTTCCCTGATGAAGAGTCATGATGTTATTCTGTGGAGACAAGACCTGGTTAGTGAGGAGTCAGATGCCTTGAGGAGAGATGGGGGGATTTCAGTGTCCTCAGCTCAGAATCACACACTTGTTGCCTCCCACAAAGCCCACTTCTGGTCTTCTCTCAGTGGGATGCTCTAGGTTTCACATGATCCTTCTCCATGATCCCGGGACACAAAATTAAGCTGTTTTTGGGTTGAAGTAGAACTCATAGGACAGGACTCTAGGAAATACAGTGTGGCATAGGAAGCCTGAACATTATGAAATGTCCTTTCCGGGGTAGGGTTAACCCTCAGTTCACTGCAAGGCCTGCAACTCACCTCCAATCCAGGCACTGGGTTTCCTCTGCTGAGTGCGATGAGCACACTGATCCAGAACAATAACTTCACCGCTGGCTCCTGCAGTGGCTGTAGTAGGCAATGAGGAGCACTGCCTGTGGAGTGCAAGCATGCATCCATAAACCCAATTCTTCCAGGAGGGCTGGGCAGTAGTTTGCATGGTCCCACGGTTTTGACTACATTGTATTTCTCCTCTACTCGGCCACTCAGATATCCTTCAGTGGGGCCTATTTCCCAGGCTTCCACTAACCTGAGAAAAGTCTCAGAGCAGAATTGTCTCTCTTCTGGATAGTGAATTAATGTGCTGCATGGACACCATCTATGTCATCAGTTCCTTTAGGATAACAGGTGAAATTCTCAAAATCCCATGGTGTCCATGTGCCCGAGGAATGGTAAAGTTCCATCTTTACCTTGAAGAATGGTTATGACTAGGGTGATCTTCGCAATAACTTGATAATACCTTGTATAAAACACAGCAATATTGGAGTATCACACTCAAGGTAAATGTGGGGGGACTGATGTGACCCATGTTTGCTGGATCTGTCTTCATTTGAAAAAAGTGATCAGTTGAGGACAGCATGCTTCCTATTCAGGTGAGTGCATCCCCTCTGTCTCAGTTAGATCATTGAGAGATGCTGGGATCCTAAGTCTGAGGTCCCTTTCAGCTCTCTTGTACTAAGGCCTTCACCTCATTGAGACCAATGAGCACAACTACAAAATAAGCCTGAGCCTGATACCCATGGTAAGCTACCTGGCATGACAACAAGCAGGGGTATAATGTCATAAACCCATCTGCCTGTTCACTTTCAGTCAACAGTAACATAATCCCTCCTTTGGGGTTGTTCTCTTCACTCCTGGCACAGGCTCTGTGACTTTTGTCTTTCCTAACCACATAGAGTTCTCCGTGCTAACCTTGAGATACCAATTCAGATCTACTCTTTTGTCTCACTGTAAGCACCAGGATATGTGAAGTGAGCAGCCACCCATAATGTCAGCCCATCATGAGGAATTCTGTTCCAACAGCAGGGCCAGTGCCCTTCACTCCTGTGATTCAGGACACTTATAGAATTATTCTGGATTTTCTCCCTCATTGGCAGTGATCACAGCCAGCTTGGTTAGATGGTGCTCTCATCGAAGTGGTTAAGAACTGACAGGCTATATAGGTGGGGCTTTTAGGAACACATGGGTTTCTGCATGTGACATGAAGATTTCAATTTTCACCCATGCTCCCCCTTCACACTGCTTCCTGGAGGACATGTGGCAGCAGGTTTCCTCCTAATATGCCTTCCCTCTGCTGTTCTACCTCAGAGCTGAGTGAATGAATATGCACTGGAAACTATAAATTGTAACCAAACATCAGGTGCTCTTCCGAGAAACTTCAGCTGGAAAATATTGTATCCTAACAATGAGAACATAAATAAGCGATCCCTTGTGTGTTTCTGTAATTTCTCCAAATTCCTCATGTTGGAGTCTGCCTTCCCTCCATCCCCACCCCTGAGTCAAATGGTTTCCTCACTGTGTGACCACTATCTTCATAACCTGAAAACTGTTTTCCTAGGCCAAGATAGATGTACTCTAGTTCATCAGAACTTTGCAGAGCTGACCTGATGAGCAGGAAGCTTGTGAGTCTGCTGGTTCTTGGCTGCAGGCACTCACTTTCCTCAGGAAAGCCCATACATTGGTTTGTCAGCTCCTGGGGTCCTCCCATTACTGACCATATATAGATCCCTCTGCTGACTTCTGGTCTCTTCTTGGACCAAGGTACTGAACTCCTTGACTTCTTTCAGCTCACAACACTGGGACACATGTGAACAGTTCCTATGCAACCTCACACAAGGAACCTCTACCCTGAAAACAAGGGAAGCCAGGCTTTGTGGGGTCAGATTTTACAGTTATGGGCTCCGTCCAATTCTTCAGTACTGCAGAAGACCAGAGGGCTCAGACATAACAATACATCTTCTCCAAGGTTTGGTATGAACACATTGAAAAATTCCAACTGTGGGTGACCAATCACCTGTGGCAAAAGTAGATGCCTACAAATATAGAAGGCACTAGCTGAACAAATCAAATCTACAGAAAATGTTTCCATGATTTATCTGCTGTGAATTTCTGTTGTAAAAACCCATATGCACATGAACATATGAAAGGATACATCAATTATGGTGTTTACATCCAATGAAGCAATATTTTGCAAAAAATAAACAGAAGATATCTTATTGTCATTGATGAAACTTAAGTCCATATCTGATGTGAAAGGAATCTGTCAAACAAGTTGAACTAAACTGTTTTTCTTGTGTTGAAACTCTCAGCTATAAACACGAAGCTAAGTTGAAGAGAAATATTTGGATGGAGGCATAACCTGCTGAATAGCAATGAGAACAGGAAGTGCCAGGAACAGGGAAGGAAGGAAAAAGGTTTTATAGGGCAAAAAAACAATTGAGGGGAAAAGAAGAAAATGTGATTTTTTTAAATGGTGAAGTGAATGAATGAGAAAACAAGTAAGATGCACTATGCACGTTTGATACACCTTTATGATGCTCACTATCTACTGCAAACTAGTACAATCAAAAATACGGCTGAGAAATTGTACAAATACTACAATTTCTGAATAGTGGAATATCAAATCAGAGTTTTCCAGCTTTTACTCTTCTCAGGAGAAAGATTGAAGTTTTAGATTCCAAGTGAATCATGAGGACCTTTGCAGGTACAGGGATAAAGTGTCGTGGTCGTTTAGTACACTGCCAGTTACCATGATCTCAGGGACACTTTGGGGTTCTGTTCCCAGAATGATCTCACAGAAAACGGCAGCAGACTGACTCCTATGCATGTGCCTGGCACAAGCTTCTAGAGCGCTTTGTCTTGGGTTCCATGCCAAGCAACTCTGGCATATCTGAATCTGACCTACAGAACAGCCACAGGACAACTTCAGTTCAGGGTGCAAAGTACAACACTCCCACAGTGACTGGGCTACGGACATTCTCAGCAAATATCCACAGACAGGTAGCATATCAGAGAGAAACACACTCAGGATGAAAGGTTTACATGGAAGCCAGAGGCAAGGCAAAGGCTGAGTTGCTCTGTAATTGAAAATCGAGGTATTCATTATTTTGAGTGCATTGATGAATGTGAACACTACAGAGAGGAAAGAAAATGAAGAGTTGAATCTTTGACAGATGGAACAGAGTTGAGAAACTCACTGCCAATTTTACCTAAAAAACCTCAAATCCAATTACTTAGAATAAGAAATGCTGAAATCAAAGTGGGCTCGCTAAAATCCTGAAAATAATTATTACATACTTTCAGAACATCATAAAAGTGATCCAGAACAAACTCATTGAAATTGCCCATGTGCCTAGATACATACAAAGCACAAAACAAGAACGTATCAGTAAGTCTGTATCAGTCAAAAAAGTGAGAAATTTATGTACTAAAAAGGCCCAACCGAAGAACCTGATGTCCTGGTGCATTCATACTTGAATGCTACAAGAAATTTTGAGAAGGTGTAATGGCTATACTCCACAAAATCCTAAATAAATTGAACAGAAACCGGGATTCCTAAACTCGTAGTTGGAAGCAAGCATCATCCTGATCTGAAAAGCAGAATAAACCCAAGGAAATAAGAAATCCACAGCTTCATCACCTTCATTCATGTCCATGCATAACCTTTTTTAAGATTCTGGCAACTAATCATCATCATAATCATATATAATTGAAAATTATGCTGCATTTCACAGGTGAAAGGATGTTCTAGTATGCACAAGTCAATAATTTCATGAAAAGCATGACGAGAACACAGGACACAACATATATGTTTACATGCATAGCTGCAGAGCATATATTTGACAACATCCCATATTGAGCCACAATGAGAAACCTGAAGAAAACAGGTAGAGAAGAATCTCATCTCAACCTTCTGAAAGAAATCTATGAAAAACCAATGATGAAGTTCATAGTAAATGGGCTAAAAGAAAATATTTTTCCAAACAATCAGGATTAAAGAAAGGATGTCCACTCCCATCACTCTTGATCAAAATTCTATGGAACACATTATAAGAAAATCTAACTAACAGAAACAAATCAACACACACACACACACACACACACACACACACACATATATATATATATATATATATATATATATATATATATATATGACAGAAAGATCTACATTATCTTGAATTAAAGATGATCCGATCCTCTGCATGGAAGACCTCAAAGACTCCAACAAATGACTGGTAGAACTACATTTAAAAAATTTCTTCTTGAGAATTGTACAAAGTCAACACGGAACAATAAATGGTATGCCTGTAAACAATTAATGTACTCCTTAAAGACATAAGGGAAACAAAAACTTGGGCACTGGCACTGAGAGAAATGAACTATGTGGAAACCATTGTAGCTAAAGAAGTGAAAGACCTCTGCTATGAAATCTGCAGTCCTCAGACAATAGACATTGAATGAGATAAGAGAAAATGGGATTATGTTTTTCCCAGAAGGGCAGAAATGGTATCATAAAAGTGGCCATAATTCAAAAGCGATTGTACAAATGGGATGCAG